GGGGTGAAGGTGGAAATCTTAGACCAGAGTCTGTCACTCAAATTCTCCAGCCTCAGCCCCCAAGGGTATGGGTCAAAGATGAGGGACAATAAAGAGAAAACTACGGGCTGTTTGTTCAGCAGCGTCATCAGATACTCTCTCGGATGCTCTTGCTTTCGGAATAGGCGTTCAGAGCAAGAACCCATCACGGGGCCCTGGCCACTAGTTTGGCTCAGTGGATGGAGCATCGGCCTGTGGGCCAAAGGGTCCTGGGTTTGATTCCGGTCAAGGGCACTTGCCTGGGTTGCAGGCTCCTCCCCGGTCCAGGGCCCTGGTTGGGGCTCGTGCAAGAGGCAACCAATCGATGTGTCTCTCTCACATCGATGTTTCTCCCTATTTTCCCCTCTCCCTTCCACTCTCCCTAAAAATCAATGGAAAAATATCCTCAGGTGAGAATTAACAAAAATAAATAAGTAAATGAATAAATAACCCACCACAGGAACTACCCTGACTAGATATGGTGGCCACGGAGTTGAGTATGACAGTCATTCCTGGAGACCTGAATCCAGGGCTGTGAGGAGCTGTTCCAAGTGGAGGAATTTAACGTCAGATTTCCCCGAGGACAACAGGGAAAAGCAGGCGGGTGCTTCTCCGTCTGCCCCTGGGAATCCAGGATAGACTTGCCTCGGGGGACACTTTTTGGGGCAAAAGGAAGCTGACATGACACCCAGAAGCTTCACGACAAAGTGTTTTTCTGTTGAACTTCACGGGAGAAGGAGAGAAGCCATGAGGGGGACGTGCCCTCCAGGCCACGCCGCCTGAGGCTCTGCCCAGGGAGGGGACAGGTCCTCAGAGCAAGGAGGCCCCCTGGGAGCCCGGGGCGGGTTTTGGTCTCACTTCCCCAGGAGCCCGCAGCACCGTGGAGAGTGTTGCTGCCCACATAGGAGAAACAGTGATAATCGGCCTCGTCCTCGGCCTGCAGCCCGGAGATGAGGAGGAAGGCCGTGTTGCTGGACTTGAAGCCAGAGAAGCGCTCCGGGACCCCCGAGTGCCGAGCATTCACGTAGGAAATCAGGAGTTTGGGGGCCGTGCCCGGGCGCTGTTGGTACCAGGAGACGTAGTTATAACGCCCGATGTCATTGCCGCTTCCCACACAGGAGATGGTGACCGACTGTCCCATATTCCCGGACACGGATGGCAGCTGAGTGAGGGCAGCCTGGGCCCAGGACCCTAGAAAGAGCAAAAACACACTGTGGTGAGTTCAGTGCTGGGCTCAGGTGAGCCTGAAAGAGGAGACAGAGGCCTCTATCAGTCCGGATGGCTCTGTGGTCCCTTCCCCGGCGCCCTCACCTGTCCCCTGAGAGAGGAGGCTGAGGAGGAGCAGAACCCAGGCCATGGCAGAGACGCCCCAAAAGTTCTGCCTTCTGAGACCCCAAGCCTGGCTCCCCCAGACCTCTCTTATCCCCTCCCCCTGACTCAGGGGAGGGAGGGGCCTCCATGCAAATATGCCTCCTGCACCTGCATCTCTCCACCCCCCATTGACTTGGCCCTGGAGCCTAGATACTGTGCACTCTGGGCAGAGGGCTCCCTGAGGGGTTAAAAGTCTTTGAGCTGAATTTTCCAAGTCAGGGGAGGCTGAGCCGATGGCCGTGCAAGGGCCACTGTGGCTCCTGAGGAATCTGGGACTTCCACTTTTGCTCTGAGGGGTGAAGGTGAGGACAGGGTCCAAGGCAGGCTGGAGAGAGCCCATCGCTGTTCCCAGGGACAACAGGCAGCGTTGGGTACTTCTCACTCTTCAAACCTCCCTGCTTCTTCTCATAGGATGGGCTGACC